AAGGACAGATTCAATTTATATATAGACACTTTTTTATGACTTTGCCTTAAAAAACCCAAAGTAAAGCCTAATTAAACCCATTTTGGGCTAATATTCTTTATTGGAACCTAAATATTTGTATTGAGCATATGTAACAAATAATTGACTTTAATCAATCGTTGATTAATGGCTTATTAGATAAAAATAATAGATAATGTCTGCTTAAAAGTAGTTACTCTCATTATAGTAGTTTTGCTGTCATTGACCAGACAGCTGGTGTTCCTTCTTAAGTATTGCCTGTATTTGCAGTGATGCTTAATTACATTAAAACCAGTGAGCTATTTCCCAGTTGGTCCACTTCATTGAAATGAAGCAGCAAATAGTCTGACAGTATGTTAGAGTGACATACCTTCTCTTTAAATGACAGTTTTATTTCTGTACATTGAGAATGTTAAGAATCTCACATATTTTATTCAACTTTTTTATGCAGTAACCTAATATGTTTCTGTTTTCTTGATATTTTATACCTTAAGAAAGCTTTTCTTTTGATTATTTGGTCACTGTTAAAGTCAGGCACAATAAATTGTTAAATATAACAAAGTACTTTACTCTATTCAGCATATTGGTGAAATAATGTTTACCCCTTCATATTATTGAAAGATCCTCTTGATACAAAAGGTATTCAATAAAATGGACGCTGGTTAATGAATTGAATTTAGTTTATCTATATAACGCTAATACACAACACAAATTCTAGGCCTGCAACTAACAATTATTTTGCAAATTGATTAATCTTTCGATCATTTTTTGATTAATCGATTAATAATCGGATAACCAAAGGTTCTTTACAGAACTCTTTCTGCATAATTAAATCAAACTAAAACTTTTTCACTTGAGGTGTTCTAGATAGAGAATATTGACAGGAGAAAGAGATGTTTTTCTTAAATGCAAAATGTTTACGCATTTTTTTAAATAATTTTGGTATAATTGCTGCTCTAAGTGGGTTTCTCTGTCAGCTAAAGACACATTTAAAGTCTCCACACTCCAGTTAACGATTAATCGATTACTAAATTAGTTGACGATTGTTTCAATAATCAATTGATAACAATTACTCCGATTAAGTTTTTCAGACCTAATAAATTAATTAACTCACAACTTGCATCCCTAACTGAGCACCTTCTATGATATTGTCACCCCTTCTGCTGTGCAGTGGATTAACACATAAACTTCCATCAAAAGCCTCCTCTTTTCCACTCACCTTCCTCAGTCACTGGTAGCTAATCAGACCAACCAGAGTTTAGTGATTCTTATTGTATGCTGGCAGCTGAGGAAATGGCTGTGTTGGGAACAGGTTAGAATTGGCACCTGTCTTAACAGCTGTGTAAAACTGACTTGATGCAATAGAAGGATTATGAGTTAAATAGGCACAGACCTCAGTGAACTCTCAGAGCTGTTATTTCCTCCAGATCAGGCCCTACGCGACAATGATTCAGAGATTTTTTGGTTTCCCCTCAGAAGTCAGGAAGTGTCCTGTTGTTGTGAGATTGTTGGGCCTGAAAACGGGAAAAGGGCCGGGGAATAGACGAAACACGGTTCCTATCTCTGGACTGCAGGGCTTGTTTAATGTCTTTGTGAGCCAATCAAGCCCATTCATGCCTTTCTGATGGCGTTCTGCCAAATGTCTTGGTGATATACGTGTCCACCTTCGTCCCTTTTCCTTCTCTTACATAACGTTTGAATAATCTGGTTTTATCAATGTTCTGTTCCTTAAAGGAGAGGAAAAGCCATTTTATATCCTTATTCCTTCTATCAGGCAAACTTCTAGTTTGGACATGGCCTGTTTTTTGAAAAATGATAACGTAGCACTGATTATAAGAGATACAAATATTTTAAAATGTAACTTTTTCCAATTCAGAGTGATGGGAGACACTCCTTAAGACCAGGTTCACACAAAGCTGAAGACAGTATAAATATAGTAAAAATGGAATCACATGAAGCCAAGGGAGCAGTAAAATAGCCGTCAAAATACTTATGCCACAGCAATCAGGAGCGCACTAATGCTACCACAGAACTGAAGGAAGAAGGAAAAAGAAGAGCAGAGCGAGAACGACTAACCCAGGTGTGCGTAAAGCGGCATTTATGTCAGCTGACAAAAGGATGTGCCTCGCAAAATCCCGTAGAGGAGAAAAATATGTCGAAGTTAAAAGGACTATAAAACAGGACAGCAAGTGTAAAAACTGCTATTGTTTTTGGTTGTTTTAGAGCATGCGGCAAGTCCATGTTGGCTTGCACGTCCAATCCGGCCAGTTTGTAGCCGGTTGAGCAGTTTTAGCTGTTGACATAATGCCAGAACTCAGAGAGATTTTAGATTTGTCCACCCTATTTTAAATGCTGTCAGTCTACTCTCAACTTGGTGTCGATCCAAGAAGTGTAGTAGATACTCCCTAAGCTTTGAGTGGACGGAGGTTAATTTTCTGAGCCTGTCCTTGTTTCCTAACAGAAAGACAGACAAGAAATAATAACTTTCCAGTTTAAGGGCGGATTAGACTTCTGCAACCGCATACTTCAAATGTCGCTTGAGTCTGGTCGCGAACCAGTTTTCCTGGTATGCTTCTGCAACGTCGGTCTGGAATTTCTAGGGATGCACAGCAGTTTCCCGCCAAACAATGGGGGGAGCCTATTCGAGAACTTGCAAGAACTATGGCGGATGGTTACTAGAACTTTTTCAGCAGTGCCGGCGGGAGTGTTTATTTTTATTTGTTTTATTTCCAAAAAAACATTGGTGCGTCTGGAAGATATCACGGTCACGGAGATTGATCTAGAGTATCCATTGTTGTTGTTCCTCTGTTTTTAAAAATGACGCGCCTCGGCTCCGAATGGAGAAGGACGACCACACAGACACCCGGAAATGCATACCAAGGACCAATCACATTTGTTTTTAGTCTGGTAGGTCCGATGCGTAGTCAGGATTTTTTTGAGATATGCAATAACGGTTGCAGAATGCACAGAGAAACATTTGACGGTTGTAGAGGCTGTGCGTCAGAAGTATAAATTGGCACCCTCTTGATACCAGTAGCTAGCATATGGCTGACTACAAACATTTTGTCCCAGTCTTCCTCACTTCATTAAATTTAAGTTAGTCAAGAGCTTCCACTCTTCTGAGGTGGAATGGCTAAAAAAGACAGTTCTAGAGTCAAGCTATGTTGTCGTCATTGTTCTGCTTAAGCTTAAGGGCCTTAAAGTACTTAAAGAGCTAAGTCATTTATTATATCTATAAAAAAATCACAAAAACCTACATCCATCCTCAAAAAAACAATGTGTCAATTTTTCATCCTGATAGGTTTTACTTTGTCCTTGTTGGACCTGAAATCAGCCCTCGCACAAAGCCTAAAATAAACATTCTTGTATACTGTCTCCATCTGCTGGCAGTTCTAATTATTTAATCAGAGTGAGCCATTGGCGTATAAATTCATAAGAGGATGGTCATAGATTCTCCTCTAGATGAACATCCTGGTACCTGCTGCTCAATGAGTTACTCTAGTTCTTGTTCCGGAAGCAGCAGAGAAACTTTTCCTCCAAGGTTTGGTTCCTGAATCAATTGGATATTTTCTTATTGCTATCAAGATCTTTAGACAAACGTTTGTTCTTTTTGGTTGCCATGGTTTTTCTTTACTCTGTGTATACACTTCGAATAAATTCAGTTTATTTCTATAGCGCCAATTCACAACACGTGTCATCTCAAGGCCCTTTACAGTTCAACCAGATCATACAGTCAAATTGATTCAAAGTTTTCTATCTAAGGAAAACCAGTTGATTGCATCGACTCATTGACTCGAATGCAATCCCTCACAATAAGCATGATTGTAGCGAAAGTGGAGAGGAAAAACTCCCTTTTAACCGGAAGAAACCTCCAGCACGTGGGTTTTCTATTTAATATAAACATTAGTTTAATGATCTAATGGAGAGAAAAGCACTTCGATCCCCCCCTGGAAGGTATGTTGGGATAAGAATCATTATAATGTCAACACCATATAAATATATATCTTTTTTTTTATTAATTTTTTTTTTTTTTTAGACCAACTGGTTTAAAGGAACACCATTTAAGTGCGAGTTGTCCCTCCTGTGAGCTCTGTGCAAACCTTTAAAGTCCGTTCCTGAAATAAAACCTCATGGGCCATGAGCCATCCAGCATGTGACTCTCCATTCTGGGCTCACTGGGAAAGAGAATCAGAAAAACAACCAAAGAGTTCTTCCCCAGCCTGGCATTAGTTCAGAGAGATGGTGGAAGATTACAAACAGGGACGTCTGTTGTAGAATATGAAGTTGTTTTCTCTTTATTTCTGCTCCTTTTATCCCCCATTCTGCTCTGTTTGTAGATGGAGATAAGTGTTAGCTTTAAAAACAGAATCATAATGTGACCTCTAGTATATTGTTTAAAAAAAAAATTTTTTTGTGTTCTTCTTGGGGTGCTTGGGGAGTTTTTTTATTTTGTTTTTTATTAATTTTTTCCAAAAATTTGTTCCAAATTCCAGAACCATGCTTGGCATTAATATAGTTTTCCAGCTGGATACCTGGTGTAGCCCTAGTTACTAAAAAAGCTAAAGGTCAGAGAGTTACATCTTTATCATAAATAATGAGTTGTGATGACATCATCAACAATAGTCCTACATTTTTTCTTGTCCCGTTAAAGTTTGATTTAAGGATTGATGAGAATCCTTCCACTGCAGCTTTAATGCAGGTAGCTCCTGCTTCTCTACACCAGATCTTCTTCTCCTAGAGCCAGAGCCGTGCGTGTTTTACTGCTGCAATATATCAGGGCTCTTTAGAAGTTTATTATGTCCGGTTCTACAGCAGCAGAGAAATAAATGGAGCATTAGGTTTACTGGTAACACCTTGCTTTCCAAAGGTGTAAAAATACTGTCAGATGTTTACATGCCGCCATCGCTGGCATTTCTGTTTCTTTGTTTTTTAATGATTTACAAAAAGACAAACTGAGGGCAGTTTTGCTCCCGTTCATATAGGATAGCATGGCCATGACGGGGGGGACGGCAGCTGCCCTTCCCATGAGCAACCACACCCGGGAGAGGGTGACCGTGGCCAAGCTGACTCTGGAAAACTTCTACAGCACGCTGCTGACGCAGCACGAGGAGCGGGAGATGAGGTAACCTCTTTTTTTTTTTTTTTTTAAACAGCCACGCAAACAAATGGAGGGGGTCGAATGCCGAGCTGTTGTTTACGGCGTCGGGTTTCCCCCAGTAGATAAGGCAACGCTCCCGAGGTAGTTTAACCAAAGTGGTGAAGGAAACTAAACACTGCCACTGATGTTCTATTGTTACCTGAAGGTTGATCTGCTGGGAGATCACCTGAATAGTTGTTTACACCTTGCTAGTCACTGCCACTCCAACCGTACCAGGAGGAAACCAGAGACTGAAGACGCTTTGTGATAGGTACGGTTTAATGATACTTTTTTGGCATTTATTTTAGGCAGAAGAAGCTTGAAAAGGCCATGGAAGAAGAGGGCCTGCCAGATGAGGAGGTGCGAATAATCTCCATTTTCTTTCATTTAAAAAATAAAAGTACTTTATTAGGATTTAATCCGATTATCCAGCATTAAATAACAGTTAGATAGCGAAATCTCTCAAGCAGCTCTCTGTGGGTTGCAGAAAGTGATGCGGCGCTCGCAGCACGCCCGGAAGGAGACGGAGTTCCTGCGTCTGAAGAGGACGCGGCTCGGTTTGGACGACTTTGAGTCTCTGAAGGTTATCGGAAGAGGAGCTTTTGGAGAGGTCAGACACATTTCACAAAAGTATAAGGACAATAAAACAAGGCGAGTGGAGGTTTTCAGGCTTTGTTTTTTTCTTTTAGGTCCGCCTGGTGCAGAAAAAGGACACTGGACACATTTACGCCATGAAGATCCTGAGAAAAGCAGACATGCTGGAGAAAGAACAAGTAAAGAATCTACCTGGAAGGTTAAAAACCAGCTTTGACTCCTGAGTGACAATCCTGATCTGCTCCTCCTGCAGGTGGCTCACATCCGTGCAGAAAGGGACATTCTGGTGGAGGCGGACAGCGCCTGGGTGGTCAAGATGTTCTACAGCTTCCAGGACAAGAGGAACCTCTACCTCATCATGGAGTTCCTGCCTGGAGGTATTTCCTCAGACCGTCTAGACTGATGTTTCACAAGCTGCCAGAAAACACCTCTGACTTCTGTTACCAGGCGACATGATGACGCTGCTGATGAAGAAGGACACACTGTCCGAAGAGGCCACGCAGTTCTACATCGCCGAGACGGTTCTGGCCATCGACTCCATCCACCAGCTGGGCTTCATCCACAGAGACATCAAACCAGACAACCTGCTGCTGGACTCCAGGGTCAGAACGCAAACATGGCAAACATCCCAACATCTCCAGACTCAGACCGTTTAGGCCATAATCACACCGAGCGTCTTCTTGCTTCCAGGGACACGTGAAGCTGTCGGATTTCGGCCTGTGCACCGGACTGAAGAAGGCCCATCGCACCGAGTTCTACAGGAACTTGACGCACAACCCACCAAGTGATTTCTGTAAGCCATCCAGCTTCAGAGTTCAAACCAAATATGAAGGAAATTAGCTTCTTTTCACATTATGCTTCTTTTCTTTTAGCTTTCCAGAACATGAACTCAAAGAGGAAAGCAGAAACCTGGAAGAAGAACAGGAGGCAGCTGGTATGCTTCCTGAACAAACAAGGAAAAAGTGAAAATAAAAACATCGTCCACAAACATCGTATTAATTTTAATAATCCATTTGATTAACACTGAATAATTATAGAAGCAGTACATTTTCAGTCTCAATAATAATTCAGGCTAATTGGATCGGAAATGGAGCATCATGCATGCACTGGAAAAACAATCTAGAAATAAGTAAAACATCATTAAATTAAGTGTATTTACCCTTAATTTGAGTGGGTAAATGAGTTAGTTTGCCAATGGAATTGGACAATGGAATTGTGTTTTCTTATTTTAAATCTAAATTATCTTGTTGGCAAAATGTCTCTTGTAGCTCCTCAATCCAAGAACAAATACACTTATTTTAAGAAAATCTAGATTTTGATTTTTTCCAGTGTGGAGCCCGCTTTTAAAAGAGTCCAAATGTGGAAATCAGACTTTGTCTTTTTAAAGCATCTCTGTTGGTGTTTGGCTTTAGTGAAAACTTGCAAATATTCTCCAATTTATCTCATTCGTATTAGAATGCTAGCATTAGCCTGTCTTCATATCTCCACTTCCATATTTATTCCACAAAAACTGCTGATTCCAACAATTAGAGACTCGCCTGCAGGCGGTCAGTAAGCGTTGCTACTTGTCTACTTTTTTAACCTGTTGTGTAAGAGACCAGAAAAAGATATTAAACAAACATGCCGGTGCAAATTCTCAAGGGCCCAATATGCTTGAAGCTCGGACATTCCGCCTTTCACAGCATCTGCAGCATTTATACTCTGTGCACCTTTTGCTACTGTATTTGCCAGCTCCAAGGGGGAGCATGTTCAGCACAAAGAGCAAGCTGACAAAACCACACTACACAAGGAAGTAGAAAACAGCCTTTTAGAACTTTATCAAAGCCTCTTCATGCCATTCAAGACACTAATTTCTTTCCTGGAGCTTTTCCACAATGTGTTGATTCTCTAGATGTTTACATTTGCGAGCCTAAAATTATGGAATTTTGCCGCACGGACCTTGCGGACACTTCAAGCATAAATCAAGCTTCAGTCATGCGGGTCATGGCACCACAAACAGGCTTAAATTAGAAGGCAACTGGACTTTCGCTCTGTTTTTTGAAGACGTTTCGACACCTATCCAGGAGTCTTCAGCATTCAACTAGAGACTGCTCTGGTGTGAGCCAAAAGAATTGACTCCTGGATAGGTATGTAGATGTAAATCCCTTTATTGTCCCCCACAATAAGAAAATTCACTCTCTGCTTTTAACCCATCACTTTGGGAAGCAGTGGGCTGCCATTGTGTGGTGCCCGGGGAGCAGTGTGGGGTTAATGGTCTTGCTCAGGGACCCAGAGTGGCAGTTTGTGGAAATCTCCAGGACCCAAGTGCAATGCTCTAACCACTATGCCACCACTCCCCAAAGGCTCTTTCTGCCAGGTTTTGAACCACTGACCTTTTTTCATGTGAGGCAACCTCAGACGAAACCTCAGATATCAGAATTTTAACATTTTAGGTCATGCATTTTAACAAACAAAATGTACGTGCTTTATGGGAACTACTCTTTCCACCAACAGAAGATTGCGTATGCGTATGTTCCACCAAGCAGAGCGTGATGCGCTGCTGTGAAAAACAGTAGTAGATCATAACTGAAGTCCATGAGGAGTTATTTTAGCGCCACAAAGAGACAAAATGCGACCAACGATGTTTGTGGGAAAACAGTGAGAAGTTGATGCAACATGACAACCTGGTTAGACAACAACAAAGAATATGGAGAACGGGCTACATGTCCAACTTCACTACTTCCTGAACTTCAGCCAGCTCCTGAAAGACAAGAAGCAGAGGAGCTGGCTGAAGTTCAGGAAGTAGTGAAGTTGGACATGTAGCCTATTGATGATGAGGATGTAGGAGGAAGAGCACAGGTGCTGCTGCTAGACAGAAAGCAGGTAGAGTGCAGTTACAGAGAATATGTGAAGCTTTAAATGGTACAAAGCACTGCTGCAGAAGCTTATATTCCTAAAAGTAGTTAGAAAATAATTTACAGAATAAATACACGCTTCCAACAAATACCTGCCTCAATTCAGCTTTTTGCACAGAAATGTGCAGTTCAAGTCAGATTTCCTTCAGAAGTAGCCATTTAAAGTTTATTACAATGATCATACAGAGCAATTGTAATAAAACAGCTTTAGAAAATATGCACTTGATGGTTAAAAAATCACAGTTTATGAAATATGTGTTTTGCTTTTTACAATTAGTCCAATTATATATAATGATTCAATTATTTTCAGGGTCTCTGCATGTCATTAAAAATCATTTAAAGTCATTAAATTATTATTTTTTTAAATTAAGGCCTTAATTGGCATTAAAATTCATTAAATTTGATAACCGTGGCATTAAAATGCTTAGGAAAAGAAGCTTGAGGCACAGAAAAGGCTAGAGAATGGGGAAAATGCAAATTTGAACCAAAGTGGCGGGAAAACAAGGAACTTGGGACATGGCTGCAGCCTGTCCATGGTGAAGATGGTGAAGGACTTTGCCGTGTGTATATATATATATAAGTCATGGGTATTTGTTGATGGCATTAAGATTACTTCTAAGAGCATTAAAAGAGCATTAAAAAGTATAAATTATTATTTATTCTATAATAGTCAGTTTAAATTTAACAAAATACTTGAAAGGGAATTTTAATTAGAGCAATCCAGTATTATACAGCAGTAGTTTTCAAACATGGGGCTAACTTTTCCTGTTCTAGATGTGTTTCTGCTCCAGCAGATCATTGCATTCCTCCTCAGCAGCCACCAAGGGCTGCAGAGGCCTGTTAATCACCTGAAGCACCTAAACATGCAGGATAGTGGGTGCTGAAAACAGCTGTTATAGAGCAGTTATATTACTTTATACATTTAACAAAATATTATTTTATAAGTACCATATACAATTCAATTTTGCTATCGGATTGTAAAGGAAATTGTTTGAAATGTACATATTTGGGAAAATGGTTACAGGGACAGAAATAGTTTATTTTTATATAAAACAAGTTCATTAATTAGTCTGTATATTTCTTATGTAAAATAGTTGTTTTGATATGGAAATCTTCAAGCTCATGTCAATATTTGAGAGCCCCAACCTTTTTCCTCCTAAAAATGATTAAACATGAATTTTTGGACAATTATAGAAGAATTGCATATGTAAAATACCAGCTTATGACTCCTCTAAAAACCTGATGTCTTTATTGTGGGGTTACAGCCCTCTAGTGGGCTAGAGGGGTACTGCAGGGGGATTGGAAATAGTTCTTTGTCCCTAATTAAAACATTTTAGGCAAAATAGTAACATCTAAAACTGGAGAACAATACTTGTATGTGTTACCTTAATTAGGGTACAAACAGCTTTCATTTAGACATGATAACTGTTCAATTAGTTTGTATTTTTAGGGATAAATTAATGTTGATTTCTAAACATGTTAAATTGGCGGTAAGTACCTTTGTCGGCACCCCTCAGTCAGCTGTTAGTACATTTCTCTTGGGATTCTGGACCCAAAACAAAAAAAAAAAAAAAAAAGTTGAACACCCCATAGGTGTTAACAGGGATGGGAATTGACCAGAAAAAATCATATCACCATAGTTTTTTAGCACGCTGGTAAAGATAATGAAGAGAAACCCTTTTGTACCAGTCTGTTTCACGATTTTCACATGTTCGGTCCTTAACCCTGAGCTTTAAATGTTGTGGTTCCCTTCCAGGCTTATTCCACAGTAGGAACGCCAGACTACATCGCTCCTGAGGTGTTCATGCAGACTGGGTACAACAAGCTTTGTGATTGGTGGTCTCTGGGTGTCATCATGTACGAAATGCTCATCGGTAAGAATCGACGTTCTCCGGCGTCTGTTTTTGAGATGCTGGTGAAGCAGTAACGTTTTTATCTTCCATGTGTTCGGATTGATGCAGGTTACCCACCCTTCTGTTCGGAGACGCCACAGGAGACGTACAGGAAGGTCATGAACTGGAAGGAAACCCTCGTCTTCCCACCTGAAGTCCCCATCTCAGAGAAGGCAAAGGAGCTGATTCTAAGGTTCAGTTACATCTGTTTTCACGTATCGGATCAAACGTCTGGATCTGCTGTTGTTTCATAAACCTTTTGATCTGTTAATTAAGGTATTGCACTGATGCGGAGAACCGAATAGGCGCCGTTAGTGTGGAGGAGATCAAAACCCACCCGTTCTTTGAGTCGGTGGACTGGGAGCACATCAGGTATAAAACATGCTGCTCTAAACAGGGACCTTAGCTAAAACCAGAGCAGGCTTCTGTCAGATAATGGAACAGCTCTCGTTTCCATCCGCAGGGAGCGACCAGCAGCCATTTCTATCGAAATCAAAAGTATTGATGATACTTCAAACTTTGACGACTTCCCCGAATCAGACATCCTTCAGCCAGGTGAGTAGAGACGCTCTGAAATGTCCGTTGCTGACTCTGATCAGCTGGTTTTGATTGACTCTGAGTCTGTAATTTTATGAATCCAATCTGTTATGGATCAGTAAATGCTCCCTAGTGACGACCGGACAATGTTAGCTATTATCAATACATGTCATAATAGGAAAAGGAAGCAAGACAAAAGTCACCAGAAGCTAGTTAAAATAAAACTGTATGTTCTAAGAAATGTTGGAATGTGTCGGTGGATCATTCAGGCTACAAAAAGAGCAAGACTTAAAGTGGATAACAGGAAGGCCAAACCTGTTAAAGTTAAAATGCTCAATCCCGTCATGAAAACATGATGGATCTGGCTAGCTTATCCCCTAGCTTAGCGGCTTGCCATGCTAACCACATCATGTGTAAAAATGATGCCAAAAACAGTTTGAAGGTAAAACCTGTATTTGTGGTAAAACTCCTCTAACTTCAACTGTTCTCTAACATGTATATTATGTTGACTCAGTTGGGGATATAATCTCGATTTAAAGCTCAGAACATGTAAAGAAATATATATATTTCAGTTATTTGTATGTTGTTGCACTAAAGGGGTTATTGTGATATAGAAACATGGCAAAATACTTTCAGAAATCAGATATACAATTCTTTTTTGGCATTTTTATTGTTAGGATTTCCATTTTTTAACCAGGAAAATTGACACATTGTGAGGGATCTGGTGACATCTAGTGGTGAAGTTACAGATTGTACGTCACTGCTTACTGATTTTTATACTTTTTTCTGTTTGTGTTTGCTTTTCAACAGCCAATGCAACAGAGCCTGACTTCAAATCAAAGGACTGGGTATTCTTGAACTACACGTACAAACGGTTCGAGGGCTTGACTCAACGAGGCACCATCCCTACGTACATGAAGGCAGGGAAGACCTGACGCGCACCACAGAGACCTTTTACGGACACAGGTTCGGGCCGCCAAGCCCCTGCTGGTGCTGGAGGCCGCGCCGCCGGGCCTCTCTGCGTTAAATATAACCCTCATCAAAACTTATGTAGGTCCGCTCGGAAAAGACAGAGCGTCGCCGCATTACCTCTGTAGTTTATTTTTCATTTGTGTCGTCTCTAGCCATGGCTCTCGTCCAGCCCTCTAACTAGGACACTAAATAAGCATATCTGCATGTTCAGCTTAACGTTGACGGCAGGATTCAGGCTTGAACACAAATCCCTGCTTTTGCATCCTTACTTTGATAGTTTATACACTGGCGGTTATTTTAACACAGCTAAAAACTGGGTTCCTCTTAAAGCCTGGAATCCAAATCTGTTGCTATAATAGGAGGATTTCAGCATGATTTCCTGTAAGTTTTTCAGCTCTAACCGGAATACAGATAAAAAAGGAAACATTTAGTCGTAAAAGTTTAATGAGACCATATTGCGATTATCTTTCATTGCTAACAACAGTTAGCATAATCCTGTAAAGCCATGTGCTCCGACCTGCTGCTAGAACCCGTTAAACTGTGGTTATATTACAAAGTAATCACAGAGTTAGCTATTCTATTGCCTCTGTTTGATTCAGTTTTGACGTTTATGTCGGGTCTGTCGCCCTCTGCTGTTGCGGTGAAGGTATTGCCACATTTTTAAACGGGATCTTCATTTTCCCAGGAAGCTCCTAATTTTAAATGACATCTTTGGACATGTATCAAAAGATTAAGAACATCAAACAGACGTTCTAAGTTTTCCGAAAGTCACAAACACCAGGGATCATGCTGGAATCCTCCTTCATATTGGTATTTCAGTGACATAATAGAAGTTTAATCTAGTAACTTCTGCAAAAAACAACATGGTGGAGGGAGGTGCTGCCAAATAAACTGCTGTGTCCTTCTTAAGTTGTAAGATGATGAACTAAAAAGCATTGCAGGCCAAGCTACTTCCTTCTAAAGTCATCAAAACATGCAAAAGTGCCTTTTTATGTAGCTAGATGTATCACTATAGTTTAGAAAATATTAACTAGGAGGCATCCATTAGAATAGCATTAAGCTGACTGATCTAATAAAGAAGGTAAACGGCATCTAGAAATGATTAAAAAGAGCAAATATATATGTTTGTAGAAACTAAAGCTTCTTAAAATGAACTACATCTCAGTTTTATGAAGCTTGTGGTAAAAACAAAAGCAGTTTTTTATAGGTTAGATTTAAAAAGATGAGAAGATGAGTTTGTCAAGTAACAGGGAACTAAATTAGGTCAAAATCACAAGAGTTTCCTCTCTGTGTTGTGAAATTGTAATTTTTTTTTTCTCTAAATCTTTTTGTTCATCCTCTTTTAACATTTTCCCCCCTCTCACATAGATGCAAACAAACATTTCCTGTAGGATTGGTCTTTAACCATCTTGTCTCATGGTTGGAACTAAGGAGTTACCAAAGTAATCTTGTGTCAAGGTCTCTTGTTCTGCACTAAACAAGAATCTACCTTTATTTAAAAAAAAAAAAAAGTCTAAACATCTAAAACAAAATGTGGGTGCTGAGGAAAATGCTTCTAAGATGTCTGCTTATGTTTATGTAGAATCAGGAAGCATACTGACAGAAATCCTAGTGTCCGTTGTTGATGTTTCTAAAGCCCTTATGTAGAAACTTACCTCTTCAGCCTTCTCATCAGTTCTGTTATACCCCCATTTCTGTTCTCTTCTTGCATTTGGTGTCAATTCCACTTAAGGATGATACAAAATGTTGGACGGAAGATGGTTATGAAGGCTTATATCTGTATATTTGTGTTATTTATGCTGCTAGTGTTTTTTTTATGTATAAATTGGCTTTTTACTGAGATTCACTGTATTTACATTGGCTGTGTTTCATGTAAAGTCCCTGATGTAAACAGAAAACAAAAGAAAGTGAGGATCTACCAAACAGACGTGCGTTGGTGTCCCTTAAAGCCTGGCTAGCCATTTTCCTTCTTTAGCCATGAGAAAAAAGAAGAAAATTGATATGTGGACGATGCGATTGGCCAGGAGGTAACACGTCTTAGAGCAGACGCCATGGGAGTGACCGTTTTATCGGGAGGTTGCTTGAGCGTCCAACCGTCAGAACAGTCGGGGGGGGGGGGGGGGCTTTGTTGAGGTATTTGACAGCATTTTAAGAGCTGGGTGGCATTTAAGAAGGTAGCATTGTGGTTTTGCATCAGACCAGGTAATCGTACAGTCTATCGTACAGGCTGATTTATGCTTAGAAACCAGGTCGTCTGCATGTGTGTCGCAGTAAATACAAATGTTCCCCCGCCCCTTCCGCAGATACTCTGCTGCACCTCTCCAAAATTGTAGGTGACCGCAGACTGGAGGCATCTGATTGGTCAAATCTACATCCACTCTACTCATGCGTATTTCCTGTTTGGTAGCTTACCGTCTTGTTTTGTCTGTATGACCACCATTGTGGAAAACGACTGGTGAAGATGGACCAGCTAGAAAAGCGAGGTACTGAGAAAGCTGGGACACTTTTTCCACCTGGATCCCCGCTCTTTGTCGCCCTCATGTCCCTCCGTTGTCGCACAAACTTGCCTCCACTTCCTCAGCGCCTCTGCCGTATCTAGACCCACAGCTAGTTCCTGATTGTCCGTCTTGCGTTGTGGCGTGGAATAACATAGCATAGACCACGCTTCAATATTGGGCATCAAAAATATCTCTGACAAGCTCACTGCGACACACTGCTTCAGGAGGATAACCAGGCCTTTAGCCCCTCACTGGAAGACACAAACGGAATCCACACACTTGGTGAAAGTTCACAATGTCCAAGCTGATGACTGTTACATCTGCTTTTACAAAGCACAGCTGTTGGACTTTAAACATCCCATGTCACCTAAACTAAACCTGGCAATGGGGAGATTACAGATTAGCTGTCCCTTGTGAATAATCCATTTTCTCAATGGACCATGCAATTGCTCCTTGGTCCATTGCCTCCCCACTGACGGAGTGGACAGGGGAAAAGTCACTATCTGCACTGACAACCATGTTGTTTTTATAGGGTAGCTCTAGGGGAAAGGATGAGTCTTACCATGGCGTGACTTTGGTTCTCTGTAGGAATGGTTCAATGGAACCAGACAGTGACATCATTGGTCCGGTCTTACGCCAAGATAACACCCATTTACGTTAGAAGTTGCATGCATGGTGAGGAGGTGATTCAGCCATTGAATCCAGTTGTGTCAGACTGCTTGATCCTAAAATGAATTCTATCATCTTGGAAGTCAACTTTAACCCATTGCTTGACCTGGTGGATCTAAGGGGTGATGAAAATGTTGACTTCACTGCTTGAGTTTAGAACCAATGGTGTCATGGAACCAGTACTGCTTACTCCTTATCATCTGATATCATCATCATTGTCTGATTTCACCGAATGTTCTTGTTTTTACTGCGCTGTCTGGTTGTCCTGCCTATTACTGTCTGTTTGCCTCATGGTTAAAGGGGTAATCAGGCCATCCAACATCTTACTGCTGCACACAAACTAAGCAAACCAATCGTCTCTACATTTTTGGACTAATTTGGCGCTATAGAATCACCCCTGAAAGGGGACATGGAATCATTTGTTGCCCATGATTGAATAAGTCATAGCGTCCAACACTCATCTGTTGATTCCTCCTGTCTCTCAAACTCAACAATACCTGAAAGGATTTCTATCTAAAGCTCACTGAGATCTCGGGTCCATTGTAAAGGTTGTTTTTTTTCTGAATCCAGAATGTTAATCCTCTATAATGGCTAAAGAATTCAGTACCTGCCTTTGATCGATGAGTAAAGTTCCAAACAACCTTCTTGGTCAATATCTGGTCCCAATTCCCCTAGCTGTGTCTAACTAGAAACAAAGATTAGAAAAGGAGAGACAAAAGTGGTCCTGATTGCTGTAGCTGTCGATTCTACCTTGTTTTTCTGGGGAAATCGCGATGCGACTATGAAAATAACCCTTAAAAGGACAATTGTTCTGGAGATCTGCTTTGGTATTTTTTGGTAGTATGTCTGATATATTGTGTCAAACGTCTGGTTGTAGGATATTAACCCCATTTATGTGTTATGAAGAAGGCAAAACAGAAGGTAGATATTTACAATATGTGCTATATATTTTTTCTCTTTTTACACTTACATTAAATATATAAATATATATAAGGTTGACTTTAAATCCATGACTGTGTCACTTTAATTACTGGGATTTTCTATGAAGTCGTAAAAGGGTTCAGGAAAAATGTTTGTTTTCTTCTTTTCTATCAAGCAAGACAATTCATTTGCCATGGACCAAACCAGTTTACTGCCTAAAAACAAACAGTTTTAGGCTCATTATTAACAGGTAATGCTGCATGTTTCATTTTGCCAAGAGACAATGGTCACAACTATATCGTAATGGTGGAAATCAACATACATGTCGAATTGGCGATTGGTTTACCCCCGCCCCAGTCAGGACTATATGTTAAGCTAATCTTGTGTAATGACGTGTACACACTGCTGTAGTCAGAAGGCGATTGTATGTGGAGGAGAACCGTGCTCATTAATATGTTCATCAATATTGCTGAGTTTTTATGTTGATACACTGTTCAAGAATAATAAACCTAAACACTTGAAATGGCCAATGTCTTCATTGTCTTAAGATGAGATTAAGGTTGTAGTTTTCTACTCTAAAGGAAATTTCTATTGAGCATGGTAGTGGTAGTGTCATGCTGTGGGGATTTTTTTTTCCTTCTTTAGGAACATAGAAAGGCAAAGAAAAAATTGACATAGTAATACAGGCATGATTTAGATCAAGCTAGTAACATGTCTTCGAATGGCCTAGTCAAAGTCTAAATAAACCCAGAATCCATAGCAAGACCTGAAATTGATAACAGACACCACTTATCCATAATGAGTTAGCCTGGGTGATCTGAGCAAGGAGGAACTGCCAAAAAAATATCTGTAAATGCCTGAAGTAGAGATGTTGCCATACTTTTTA